AGTCCCCTATGGGCCAGGGGAGGAAAAGAAATTGTTCCCATGGAAGTTTTCAGTCCACCCCCACCCCTGGGTTTGCTTTCTCTTCCTGGCATCTTTGTGAAAACATGGGATCAAAGAGCCCCGCTTTGGCAGGAGCTGCCTAGAGCCCATGCCACATGTGAACCCTCTCTCCTCAGAGGTGTGCAGGGCCCTCGGCTTAACCACAGTCTTGCTGTGGTTGGCATATATGCAGATCTAGCTTCCCGCCAACCTGCAAATGTTTCAGAGGGGCTGATCTGGGAGGGAGAGGCAGGAGTCGAAAGAATGGGAACAGGTGTTTCCCAAAGACACCTATTCGAAAAGCCTGCAGAAAACCAGACCCTCTCCCACTTCTAGGAAAGCCCGGGGAAGGAGTGAAACTGGACCACAAGCTTTTGGGAAGAATCTGGTGGTCTTGAGGAGGCAACAGAAGTTCTCTGAGAGAAAGTCATTCCATGCTAACCTCATTTCCTGTTTTGACGTGCTTCACCAGAACAGGCGATTAGGGGAATGCCCCAGAAAGTGTGTCTTACTTTCAGTAAAGCATTTGAAAGCCTCTCCTTCTATCCTATCTGTGCCTGGTTCAAGATGGGCTAGATGACCTTGAGACTAGCATTCACGATTGGCCAGACCAGACTTCCCCAGAGAAAACCAACCCACGACCTCATGGCAGCCCTGCTGACCTATTGACCAGGCCACTCAGAAGATCCTGGATTCATAGGTGTTTCCTTCCACAGTCAAGTAGCCTGGAATGACCATCATTCCACCCACCAGGAGGTTGAGTGGTGGCAGCATTGACCTGTGGTCGGGCAATAGGGATGAGGCCCTTGAGAGATGTGACCTTCACAGAGCCCAGTGTGGCTCTTGCCGGTGTTTTTATAACACCTATTGCTTTCTAAAATAGCTCGTAAGGAGACACAGAAGGCATATTTACCAAGACTGCCAGCCACATGAATCTCTGAGGAAGACACACGTACTGATTCAAGGGCCGAGAGCGAAAAGACCACGTGGAACTCAACACGCCGTGGGCAGGCTGGGTAAAAACACAACCTATGTAGGGGTTTAAAAAGAAAAATTCTCTCAACATTTTCTCCCAGCTGTGACACTAAGCATTCGAGTGTGTCCAAGGATGTGAAAAACCAACCTCCACCTTTGAATTCTTTCCTTAAAGACGGAACTTCTTTTAGGGACGCTTGGGTGACAGCCTGAATCCCTCCCCGGCGGATCTGAGAGCCTCAGTGTGAGAGCAAGCTAAACCCAAGATGATAAAGTGCTTAAAAGGGAAAGCTCTGAAATTCTAAATAGTATTATTCTCTGTCTAAGGTGCTTTCCCTCCAACTTTAAAAAAAAATAGAAAGAAATCTGACAGCGGCTGAGTGATAAGAGGAAAATGATTCAGCATGGCTTCTCTCTTCGTCTCTAACCCCTCGCTGGCAGGGCTGGCTCAGCCAGCTCCCTCTGCCCATTACTTTCTTTAAAAATTAAGTAAATTTTCTATGTATAGCTGTTTTGTCTGCATGTGTACACATGCATAAGGTGGGTGTAGTGCTGGCAGAGGCCAGAAGAGGGTGTTGGATCCACTGAGTCACAGACAGTTGTGTGTCACCATGCAGGGCCTAGGGATTGAACCTGGGTGGTGTCTGCAACCCCACCTAAGCCCACTTCAACAGCTGAGAATACCTCTCGTCTCCCAAACTTCGAAAATTCTTGAATTCATTAATTACACAGGTAGGTTCAGAGGGCTCACTCTCTGTGGCTGAGTCTCCAAAGAGGCAGGTGAAAGCATTGTCTTGAATGAAATCTTACAAAGACAGGCCTTGCGCATTTGCAGGGTATTTTAAGTTCTTTTCAATCATCTAGTGCAGGGAATGTTTCCTTTGCTGCTGCTCAGGCCCTGCCTCAGAATATGCTTGAGGTAGGAGGGCAGGCCTTTGCAAAGTTAACCAGTAGACAGAGCTAGCCCAAATTCTTTCCGCGTCAGCCAGAGTTTCCCTTACAGTTAAGGGCTCGCTGCTCCTGTGTGCCAGGCTAGCGCCTGTGTTTCTCAGGACATTGCCTTTCCATGATATGTATGAATGTATATATTCTCCTCTGAATTGTTCAATATGACAGCTGCAGCCGTGGGTCTGCAGCTGCTCTGCTTAGACAAATTAAAGTCGAAAGGAGTTAAAGGCTCTGATCCTCAGTTATATTAAATGTCCAGGGCCATATCGGCTGAAAGATAGAGTAACAGAGGAGGTGGTCCTAGATCAGTGTTGCTTAGTCTTGTGTTAGCAATTACATTAAATGTATATAACTTAAATAAAAATATTATAATGTTTATATTATAATTTATAATATAAAATACATACATATACATATCTTCAGTTATATTAAATGTCAATGGCCATATCGGCTGAAGGATACAGTAACCAACAAGGTAGAGCAAAGGTGCTCAGTCTTGGCTTAGTATTAAACAGGCTTGTGTTGCTCAGTGGTTAAGAGCACTTGTGCTGGGCAGTGGTGGCGCACGCCTTTAATCCCAGCACATGGGAGACAGAGGCAGGTGGATCTCAGTGAGTTTGAGGCCAGCCTGGTCTACAGAGTGAGTTCTAGGACTGTTACACAGAGAAACCCTGTCTTAAAAAACAAAACAAACCAAAAAAAAAAAAAAAAAAACCAAGAAAAAAAAGAGCACTTGTTGCTCTTCTAGAGGACCCAGGTTCAATTCCCAGCACCCACATGGTGAGTCTCAATGATCTGTAACTCCAGTCCCAGGACATCCAACATCTTCTTCTGACTTCATTGGATGTCAGGCACCCATGTGGCAAAAAACTTACATAAAGAAAATAAAATAAAAATTTAAAAATGCCTGTGGAGAATTTTAGAATATCAGTGTTTGTTCCTCATGTTTCCTACTTCCAAATTCTGGTGCTTTGAATCCAGGTGAGTCCTGGAAATTGAGGGTTGTTTTTGTTGTTTTTATATATAATTTGTGATTAATTTCACTCTCTGGTCAGGGTCAGAATTTTGTCCTAAAAGCATCTAAAATTATATGGTTAATTCTCTTTTGCCTTTTTTTCTTATTATCCTTATGAGTGAATTAACCCATGAATACTGTTTAGATTATCTCTGGTCTTTCCAAAGCCTGTGACTTCCACTTTGCTGCTGTTGTTGTTGAGGTCATAAATACCCTACTGAGTAGAGGTGGGTAGTGAACAGAGGGCGGGCTGTGTTCTGTTTGAGAACATAGGAAAAGAAAGGCTATCTGGGGGAGACATGCCTGCTAGTGGAAGCCCCTGTGCCTGGGTAGGGGTATGCCCAGAGAGGACTGTGTGAACCTCTGCAGGGCACATACACACACCTATGTTTGGGTCTAAGCCCCTTGTCATCTCCTGGGGGCTTTGTCTCCACTCCATGGGTGACCCCCTCCACATTGCTTCCTTCTCTGGTAGAGCCCAGACCAATGAACCTAGCACAGGAGACAGAGTCTCAGGACATTCTGCTGAGGATAGCTGCTGCTGGAGACACCCCACTGAAGACTTGTCTCTTCCACAACTCAATGGTTTTTGACTTTCCAGGAATATAATCAAACAAACTTGTACTTGAGGATAGGTAAGCAAGATTGGTTCTAATAAGCATCTGGGTATGAAGATAGGGGAAGGCTTGTGTCCCACCTCTCCTGCTAAGCAGGGAGCTGGAGGATGGGCTGGATCCACATCCTACTGCTCCAGCAACCAGCTGCAGAGACGGAGGCTTAAGCCTCACCATGTCGTTAGAATGTAGATATGCCTATTGCTGAGAAACAACACATGTCTGCTGTAGTGAGAGCCAGATGCTGTGGACAGATTTGGGGGTAAGACAGCACATCTGCCTCTATCAAGAAAAAACTAGGAAGGACAGTAAGATGCACAGACAATAAACAGCGATGGTCACTTCTAATAGTAGGTCAACCCTATGCAGAAAATAAGAGAGATGAAATGGAAGGGGTCAAGGTGTCTCTCAGGACTTGGTGTTCAGGGAGACTTCCTAGAGTCTTAGCATTTGGGTGAGAACTGGATGGGGCCCCTGGGCCTCTGTGATGAGCCCATGACCAATTAGCAAGCTGATATTGAGAGTATAAAGCAGTGAGCACAGCCACTGAGTTATTCTTGGATTTCTGCTAAGCTTACAAGTGAAAACTAATAGACTCTTGGAGGTGACTACAAATGGCCTCTTTGGCTACATTCCCAGGATGGTGAATATGTTCAGTTTACCACTGGAAATGAGAAGAGGACTCTGGAGCAGGAATGGCTGGCCATTTAACCATTTCAGAGGACATTCAAGTGCCAGTCACAGGATTTGAGGGACAGATTTGGAAAATCAGGACATCTGGATGAAACATCCATGATTTACAGTGCTTCACTTCTTGAGCCAAGCCTACTTGTAAGTAGGCTATACATGCCAGGGAGGCTATCCCATCTTGACTCCAGAACATGGTACACAGTAGGCCCCATAAGAAAATTATTATGGGCTGACTCTGCAAATCAATGTTGTACGTGGAGGTGGGGGGAGCAGAGAAAGTGGGAATTTCCCATTGTGACACTCTAGGCCAGTTCTCAGTTGTGACCAAAATGAACATGGACAGACATGGACAGAGCCCAAAGCTCTCAACTGTCAGCCTGCCGACAGTGGCTCCAAGAGAGATCTTCTAGAATGGAATAAAAAGTAGGGCCATCATGACCGAGTACTGAGATTCATGCTTAACACACTTTTCAAATGCCATGGTGATCTATGTGGTTATGACAACCTTGACGTGTAGCCTTGAAGAAAGTTACCTTAAGTTCAAGCTTAATTAGTGTTTCCGTATAGCTAATCAACAGACTATTCCATTTTCTTTGGTTTTGCTTTTAATGAAGAAAAAAAATCAAGACATGAGAGAGGGCCCGGTAAGTGAGAAACCAACCGAAGAAGACTATCACCAAAATACTGCAGGCTCATCACCAGAGAGCAGGGAGGCTCACCAGAGTCCTCCGTAGCCAGAGTCCATTCCCAGGGAAAACCCTTCACCTGCCTTCTCGCTGCAATCAGCAGGCAGCAGGTAGAGGTGCTGGGGGCACGTCCTGATTTTTCTGTGTCTGTGTCATTTTCGATCAACTGTGTCATGGGGCTTCCTGTTTCAGCTCCCAGTTATTCTGAAACAAAAATATGCAAGAAAAACATAGGTCACTGCCAACCGCACTGAGACAGTCACTCTAGTACATGGAAACCGAAAAGGGAGGCAGATCATAAACGCCGCTGTGAGCAGGGGGGTCAAATCAATAACACATCTATTCACGTAGTGAGACCTGAAATCTAAGGGTGGCGGTGAGGTGTGACAACCTTTTAAAGCCATTCAGGGGAGATCAGAGCGACAAATGTTCCCAGAATCTCACTGTCTTGTTTGGGGCCACCCTGTTGTGACTTCCCCATGGGGTTGGATGCCCAGTGAGCTTTGAGGCTCTACTTCTGTGTGCTCTTGTTGATTGTTCTGGAGACTCACAAAGGACTTAGAAGATACCCTAGATGATGCCTTAAGCTCCCACCCCCTAGGACCCAGAGCAACCCCAAGCAAGGTCACTGGAAATTCCAGTTCGTGGAGGTGCAGAGCCCCCAGTCAATTCTCTGAGACTCTGAAGATCACAGCTATGGGCTCACTTGAACTTGTGCCAAGTAGCCTCCATAGAAGAGAAGGAAAAAGTGAGACAAGCCCCCGCCACACACACACACACACACACACACACACACACACAACCAAGCAGAGGTTGCAAGGACAGTCCAAAGCTGACAAAAGTTCCAGAAAGACCATGGTTCTATTAATAACTGCATTGTTGCTTGAGGCCCCTGTGGTCAGCCTCCCAAGATGCACCCTGCCTGCAGATCACATTCTCAGCGCTCCCAAACAAGTGAAAGGGTATTTCCAAAGGCAGAGTAGATACAGAGATGCAGATGGTGCCACGCCCCCAAAGGGTATGCTGAAGGCCCACAAAGCCAGCTCTGCACTCAGATCTGCTACACACACACACACACACACACATGCACACACACGCCAACAGAATGGAGCAATTTTTCCAAGAGATGGTTGGAAACAATACTCCCATGGGAGGAAGGTCAAATCTAAGCTGACCACTCTTTCCAGCTGTGATTCTGAACAAGGCTGATAGCTGAGAAGGCAGTACCACTGAGCTTCCTGGGACATCCCCCTGTCTCCTCCAGCAGGCAGCCTGTTTAAGACACCACCCTGGGTTCACCCTGAGCTCCAGCAGATCCTGCACTTCCTTGGGGCCTTTTGTTAATGACTCGTTTTCTGCAGTATCAGTGGAGGGAGTGTATGATTTTTGGAATGGATCCATCCTTCCCCACTCTTGTGATTCCTTCACAACGCACAGTGCCCAAAGGATGTGAGAAGTAGGAAATGTGGAAAGTTGCTCGGACTGGTGTATTGTGTGTTTCCCAACATGTCTGCTGCTGCTGAATGAAGTTAGGAAGTCCTGCGAAGGACAGATTGCCCGTCCATTGAGGTCTGACTGGAATTCTAAGGATGCTCTCTGGGCTGCAGGTCACTAACAGCAGAGCTCCTCTGAGGCTCAAGGCTCTTGATGCGGGCAACTGTGACACCATAGGCCCTTTACTTTCCTGCAAAGGCCCCTACTGGCAGTGGCAGTGGGGAAGTTTCTGGAAGCTAAAGAACCTGGCTGTGTGACACCTACACAGTTAGGAGGAACAGCACCAACACCCCAGGCCCCCAATGAATCTCTTGGGAAAACCAGCTTCCCGTTTTGTGTCCTGTGAGCCAGCATTTTCTGACCAGGCTCACAGTATCCGCCATCTGGCCCAGGATTTCATCTGCAGCGCCTTCCTGGGTGGGCAAAGAGAAACAGGAACTGAGTGACGCACCAGTGGCTGACATGGGTGGAAGGAGAAACTGGCTTCCTTTAGTTCTACCAACAAAGTAGAGGCAGCTGACTACCCTATCCCCACCAGCCTGCCTCTTCTCAGCGGGATGCAGGACCCAAACCTAACGGTCTAGGCAGCTACAATATGGCGTACCCAGTCAAGTGGGTACAGAAATTACTTGGGGTAGCCAGGCCTTACAGATGAAGTAGGCCAAGCATACAGAAGGAGGAAGTGGACACCCTTCCCAAGGTCACACTGGAAGGGGCACAGCTAGACTGGGACTTGAGTCTTTCCCACCTAGTTCCATTGGGCTAGTGGCCAAAGCTGAGAAGTTTCTTGAATTCCAGCTTCTGCTACAGGGCCTGAATTAGCTGGCCTGGGGAACTTTGGCATGGACAAAGCCAGTTCCTATGGGTCCCATGCCGGATGACTAGTTATCAATGGAGGCTAGTCCATCTAGGTACTATAAGAAGTCTGTTCCTAATGCTAAGTGCATCTCAAGAAAGGCTTCCATAATCTAGTGGGCACTGAGAGTGGGCAGAAACTACCCATGACCCTTCAGAACTGGGGTGAGCCTGAATGGGTACCTGGTCACACATGGGACCATATTACTCTCTGCTTTGGTGGCCTTGCTATTCTTGTGGATCTTTAATACTCACTGTTAACACCGCCCCCCCCCACACACACTATGGATACACAACTTTATTTCCCCCAGGATGTGAGAAACAGCCTAGAAACTACATGCACCATACTGTGCTCACTGGGGACCAGAAACGCACAAACCCTTGATGCCTCTCCACCCACCTTGTCTCTCATCAGGGTTCCTGTGTCCAGAGCTACATCCATTATCTCCGAGCAAATTTAGAGCCTTTGTGGGTGGGGGACTCCCCTGAGAAACTTGTGAGTGCTCCATGCATCACTCTTAACTACACCTAACTGAGGAAGTGGCTGCTTTCAGCCCCGACAGCAGAGCCCGAGTCTTTCCCAGAGCTGTTCCAACACCCAGCTCCTCTCACCCACCACCGAGTACAGCATCCCATCTGCTAGAGTGTCCCCATGTGTGTTTTCTCCCAAACTCAGCGTCGGTCCTCTCAGAAGGATGTGCCAAGGCCATCTCTTACCAATCTGGCAGAGCCCAAAGCCCTGGGGATTCCCAAGTCCAGCAGGTAAAGTTTGATAGTCATACCAGATTCCCACCCTGCATCCTGGTCCTCACATTCTGAGAGTCCTGGAATGGCCAGACGCTCACCAGTAATTCAAATAAACCAGAGCCTCAAGGATCTTGCAAGCTGGCTCACCTTTTAATAATCCTTAGGTACCTCTAGGAACTGCCTCAGTTTACGCAAAGTTACAATTGAGCAAAAGGGCCACAGCTAAAGGTCTGGTCTTCCTAGGCTATCTTCTGGTCTTTTCTTTCCACACCCTTCCCTTCGGCTACATTTTTGCTAGAGAAAAATTATTTTTTGGAAGAACATCATTAGCAAATTTATATAGCCTGACTGGCTTTGTGAGAGGCCAAAATAATAGAACACCCTGCTATACAGTCACTAAGAACTGCCACGGGCCTCTGAAGAGCTGTATTCACCAGAAACAACGCAGAGCCCCAGTCCTCCAGGCATGCCAGGCTGGCCCTGAGAGCGAGCAGGTCTCAGTGCAGGTCTCCAGACTAAGCCCATTCTCGCCGCAGTAGCATGCATGGAATTACCCGAGGATGCATTCGACACCCAAAGGCTCCAGCTTCCTCCCGGCTCTTCTAATTTAGAAACTCTGGGGTAAAGACCAGGAACTGGGGTTGTCCTCATAGCTTCCCTCCCCGGAATAGAAATGCAAGAGCCATCAGTGGCAAGTGGTGGTTTGTTCCCTGCGCCAGTCTTCGGCACTGGGTCATGAACTTAGTCTCCTCTGGCCCTACTGACCACACCTAGCCATCTGTTGGTGTCTAGTTTCAGTAACTATACTCGAGCCACTCAGTGGCTGGCCCTTTCCAGAGATTCCCCACAGTGGGCAGGGAGAGTGTGCAACTCCAAAGGCATCCAAAACGTGGGGAGACTGTAGGGGAAGCCTCCATCTCCTGTGTTTGATAGTGCCCTCCTACACAGCACAGATCTGAGCTGGAGGGCTCTCAAACTCATGAGGCAGAAATTCTCCTACACCAAACTGCTCAGCCAGCCAAGCCACCCGTCACTGCCTCCTCTCCCCAGCCTACACAGACATACTGAGACTACGGGACCCTGAGGTCTCTTGACATTTCCCTTTAATAGAAACAGAATCATGTCACCATCTCTGTATGCCTTGCTGTCACCCTGGGAAGGAGGGTGGATACAAAGGCACCCACCTTCTAGTCTGGTCACACTGAAGTGTAAGAGCATAGGTACCAGACACAACAAAACACTTGCACTGAGTCAGGTAGGAACCACAGAAGGGAAGCTTGAGAACAGGTTAAAAAATAGTTTAACAACAACAACAAAAAGCCTAACCTTGTACAGAAAGTATGAAAAAAAAGGAGAAAAGAGAAAAGGAAGGAAGGAAGGAGGGAGAAAGAAAGTTAGGAAGCTGTAAGTACGATACAGGTAAGATGTTTGTCCCTCGGTTTCCATGGTCACCTTTTCCATGGCAGAGAAGGGGCCACAGGCAGGGTGGAGTACTTGGGTACTGTACTGTGGGGGCTTACAGTAATTCACAAACTACAGGCTGGTCAGACCCCAGGAGACCCCAGTTCCCACTCAAAGTCTTCCCCAAAGGTGTGAGCACCCTATCTCTGAGAACAGAGCCCCGTCACTCTGGCCTCTCCATCTCAAGTTAGGATCTCTTGCCTGTTTCAGGTGAAGAAGCAAGGCTTGCAAGATCCTGACATGACCCCCACTTCCACCCCACCCCTGCCCACATACCCCTGCCCACATAACTGCAGTGGCTGGAGAAAGCCTGCCAGCCCAGCCTCCATAAAGGCCCCGGGGCCACAGAGACCTGCACATAATCAAGCCAATTAAACCTAGCTTTAGTGTCACAGATAGGGACCCGGAGGCTACCTGAGGCAGGGAGGAGGAAGGGGGCTGCCGCCTGACACCAAGCCATCTGCCCTCTGTGAAATGTGACCTGATTGGATTTTGAAAAATACCAGAGAGGTGTGTACTCAGATCCTACACAGGAGAGGAGCTGAGGCGACGAGCCAGAGTCAAGTCCACTTCCTCTTGGTAGCACCAAATACTAGAAGACTGGGAACTAGGAATCCTCCTCCCCACAATAAAAGTCAACATTGTAA